CGCTGTCCCTTTTCGGATACATGTATATATTATAGTCGTCATGACAACGGTCAGACAACCGCCCGGCCGGCCAACTACAGCCGGGCCAGCCAGGGACTATCGCACGCCCGCCCCCTGTCACGACCCTCGTGACGATGCGTAAAGGGCGCTCGAACACACCCTCTTCTGCTCGCTGTATATTTATAATTATATATATATTGATGTGTACATTATGAATTATCGTTGGAATTCAAAGAAAATAAAAACACCATTATAATATTATGCTGCACGTAAAAAAAATATTTTTATACAAAAACATTTCTGTGAATGTAATAAGTTATGAACCGTTGTTGCTGTTGTTACTCCCCGCAGTCCGACACTCGTACGGATTCATTGTCTTTAAAAAAAATATAAATAATATACGTTTTTACAGGAAAAGTATGTACAGAATAATGCAGTGTTATAAATTATAATGTTTGCAAAAAAAAACTCTAGTTGGCTAGGGTTTAGTTTAATTTGGCTTTTGCTTCATCACAGTTTTCTTATCGATAACATAATATAGTATAGAGTCATATTATTATCTATGCTATTATTTTTCTGTATAATAATCAACATATTTAGCCATTTAGGGCCGTTCTTACAATGTCCGTTAACGCTAACCGGCGGTTAGTCAAATATTTAACCGACTGTCTGCAGATTACGGACATTATCCTGTCTCTTATAAAATCAAACCGTTGGGTAACATTCACTTATAACAGAGACTCATCACTTAAACGGGGATGGTAAGAAATGACTGTTGGTAAATATTGGACTAACCACCGGTTAACATTAACGGACACTAATGGACAATTTTTTTTTTTTTTTTTTTTCGTGGTATCGAGAACCAGAGGGGGGACCGCGTTAGCATTACTTCCCCTCAAATGGACAATTAACGAACATTAATTAATGAAGGTTGGTATTAGCTGTTATGATTTCAATTTTCAACTATCATGTATAACTTGTGGATTAATAGGACCAATCTGCATCAATACAAATTAAACAAAACTATGTAAATATGTTTACGCAAAATATACGAAAGGAATTAAAAAGATATTTTAGAGTAGAACTATGTACAACGTATCTATAAAGAGTGTAACAGAAAGACCTGACAAAAAAAATTATTGATTCTATATTTCAACGTATGTCAAAAATTATGAAAATCGTCTAACCAACGTGGTTATAATACGTCCCAAAAAATGTATCTAAGAAATTCCTATTTTTGTAAACATGTTAGTCAGCACCTTTTCAGTCTTTCCAATATATCTTTTGAAGTTGTGTTCAGTGTCTTTCCTCGTTGTAGAAAATACCACTTTGTCGTCTATATAGACAGACTAAAATAAATTTACTGATGTAACCACATAAAATCTCATTTATTAGGAGTCTGAATGTAGCATGCTACATCACTTAAAATCGATACAGACAAATCGATATAGGGGTCCGAAAATCTGTCAATGGGTGTGCTTCCATGGTTTGACTGGCATGTATAGCCAGAAAATTTCTATTAGATGGGCCAACAGTACCTGTATGATGCATGAGGCCATGTCGACATATATAGCCGTATATTATTTTTTCCATGTTACATTGTTACCCACCTATTTTCTTCTATGAATAGACCCAATATTTAACTGTAAGACATATTAATATAGATAGACTAATATAATATATCTACTAGCTGATCCCACGCACTTCGTTACCCGTAAAAACTGACAACTCTTAAAAGTGATTGTTCAACTCCTTTTCCCTTGCTGCAGTAATGTGTCCCGTCCGCGGTGATGTGTGTAGGATGGTGCTTCGCCGAGTTGGTTTGTCAGTTTTTCCCTCTGCCTCCGTTGAATTGTTGGTGTCCTCGGTCTGTTGCGTTCATCCAACTGCTTCCGCGACCATTTTCGTCCTCAATCACGATCACTGGACGGCATCCAGCCGTGCTGTGGGTGTCCTACTAGTACCCCAGGGCACTCCTGCCACTGTGGGGCAGGTTCAGATGAGGTGATTGGGGTGCGAGTGAGCACCGGTATAGTGCCACTTCCAGCTCGTCTCCTGGACTTTCGTCTTCGGCTATGTACTATGTAGGCGTGTACTATATTCAACAAATATAGAGTTCTTTCTACGCTGTTTCTAAAGACCGATTATTATTATTTATTTCTCTAGTACCTCTCGTAGGTTTTTCCCGTTTGGTCTGTCTGGAAATTCCACTTCTGGCAGATCGGGTATTCCCCGTATACGATTGTTCGATATTATCCACCTAAGTATACTAGAATGTGTAGCTACATTGTAATCTCTATTGCTATACTTGTTGATTACGCAGGAAGTCACATATCAAACAGGTACGACAGCTATACATTAATCCCTAGATTACTTCTTTGAATTTGAGTTTAACATGTCCCACATCATGCATCTATGACCATCTAAAATGTAACACCATCCATTACAGTGACCCGCTATTGTAACCTACTGTACAGCAGAGAGATACCCACTTGCCCACCTTTTTATTTTAGATTCTGATCGAGTGGAGGCGGATACATTTATTGATTTTACAATGATGTTTTTATTTTTATTTGTGTCTATTTACACGAATACACGATAAGTAGTCGAAATAATGCTTTGATTTTCAACTTCAGTATCTTGTTCGTGGGGAAGTGAATCTAATTGGTGATAGGGGAGACCAAAATTTTAAATTCCTAGTAATTTTTAAAAGCACCGAGAAAAAGGGTACTAATATAGGTATTGTTGCAATATGACAGTTGAATAATATTTAAAATGGTCACAATTTTTTTAATAAGCGTTCGGATTTTGACAAAGGGCGTAAAAATCACGAAAATGTGCAAATTATTTTGAGTTAGAAATTCATAAAAATGTTCTTTTCAAATATAAAATTTTAACATGTAAATACGAGATTCCTTATAAGTTATAAGTAATTCTACTTTAATTCATCAAAAAAAAAAAAAATTCTATAAGAAAGTCAAATTAAATTTTTATGAGCGTTTGAAGACTTTAGATTTTTCAATATTGGATATTCACTTGATTTCTCAAGTAGCGATTTTCTTATTTTGTTGTAATTCAAAAACGAATAACACTAGATATTTGAAATTTACACAATATTATTTTATCAATTCCTAAAAGTTTTCAAAATATTTTGGCTCGTTTTGAGCTGTTTCTTGATATATTGTCACAATGGCATTTGAAAAATAAAAAATACATAGGAATAATTTTTTTTTTATAAGCATTTAACGCTTGATATCTGGTTATTACAAATTATTTAGTAGTTAAATATTTAAAAAATGTTAAACTTTTATAGCTAAGGGACGAGGGTTAAGAAGTTAAAACAAGATTCCACGTAAATAGGTAAATAAATTACATTATTCACAATAATATCAAAAAATATCCTTAGTAATAGGTATATCATAAGCTGACTAACCGTCTTCCCTCAGAATCGTTTTTCGTACACATGTGTTACTTGCAATGATTATATTATATCATTTAATTCAAGTTCAACACCATCTATTAGTGATAAGTTCAACACCATCTATTAGTGATCCACTTGTAACCTACTGTACAGCAGAGTAACACCCACCTTTTTTTATATTTAATAGTGAATATTTTAAATTTGTAAATTTGCTTTTAGAACAATTTTGAACGTATAAACAATTATTTAAGTCATGTATAGTTAAATTTTCATGTTTTTTAAAACATCCAAATTTTTCAACGATTAGTTTATTTAAAAACAAATAACATTTAAAAATAATTTGAAAAAATAAACTACACGACTTAAATGGCAAATGGTTATACGATCAAATTCTTTTAAAAACCAGATTAACAAATTGGCTATTTTGATTTGAAAAAAAAAAGATTCAAATTTTTTATTTTCACTACACTAACAAATATAATATAAAAATAAAAATAAAAATGTTATATCCTACGTAGAGCACAAGAGTTAATATACATTAAATATATAAAAAAAATTTAAAAATAGTGATTAGAATAAAAGTTCTTCCTATTGGCTGTAACACCCGTATAACTGTATAAGTGTATAACACTATAACATACACAATATTAAAATTCATAAAGTAACAAGCCACTATATATAGTTGGGGGCAAAGGAACACTTTAACCATTTTCGTATACGCCGATACTCCAGACTAAAATCACCGATGTACTAAAAGTCTAAAAATCGAAACACACAATTAAAATATAAGCACTTTATTTACACCGCGGTGTTCTATACTGTGACCGCATCAACTATCAAGGCGATCACCGTCAAAGAACACCACTTTCCGTCTTTTCTTATTTCTTAATATCAATCATAGCATAACCCTGGCACGTATGCAAAAAAAAAATCAGGGGTGGGGGGGTTCACAGATAATTGATATAAATATATTACACAACTATTAATTTTCGGTGGTGGGGGGATTGAACCCCTAACCCTCCTCCCTGTATCCTTACCTGCCATAACCTATGTCCATATACATAATTGTTATTGGCAAACTAATATTTACCGACCAAGGATTTGGTGTTTTGGTTAGTTAGCTTTTAGTTATTACATACATATATCTAATTGTTTTCTTAACTTCGTTGTATATATGCTTACATAATAATATTATCAAATGCATATGGGTCATACAATATGTGTGCCAAAATAAAGTGTAGGTAGGTACGTATGGAAAAGCGTAGATAACGGAAATTATTATTATAATATCGTATATTATAATAGCATATTGTTTATATATACATTTCAACTAACCATTAAGTGTCAACACGTTAGGATTGTAAAATCGTTACAAGAATAGCGCATACCTATGTACGCAATTAATATACCTACAGTAAGAGCGTATATCTATATATTATATAATAACGAATAACAAATATGGGTATATTGACATATTGTGTATTTAATAATAGAATGTTATGTAATATTTGTCACGTGTTATTTTTCAGGGGAGGAGACGGTATGGCCGGGGGTTGAGTGGGCGTCAGTGAGGGGTTCGATGGATTGGTGCGCAGGTGGCGAAGATTTGCTGGGCGACCCGACGCTGCTGGTGGCTGCGGGAATGCTACACGGGCCAACTCAATTCTGCACAGACACTTGCTGTACGCCCGGACTGGAGCAGCCCAACGAGCAAGCAGTTCAGTTCCAGCAGCCAGCGATTGTCACAGTTGGCGGTTCATACAGGTAATGGAATTTTTTTTTTTCATTAAATAAACAAACGCAAACATTTTTTTCACCTATACATAGAAGGGCTTAACTTAAAAATAAATTTTATTCGACATGGAAGGGACATGGGACTCGATGGGAGGGACTAAAATTGTGTGTAGTACAAAATGTTGAGTGTGGAATACGAAACTAAAAAGTGTTTAATGGCCTGTAATAGGTAGCTAGTAACTTTTTTTACAGTTTTTTTTTCATTAATTGAAAAATTATTTGATGTTACTTAGGGAAAATGAAAATGGATGGATAAGAATTTAATGTAAAGGTACTATCTATTTTATCAATGTTTTGATTTATTTTATTTGGACCATGAACTAAGATAATATTATGGACGGCAGGAAACGATTTGGTTGGCGGGTGTGGGGGTCCAGTCCGCCTTTCGTACTGAATTTCTATATTTATATTATAATTTTCAAACATTAACAATAATTGTTTGTTTTATATTCTGTAAATATTAAATCCCCAAAATAAAATATTACATTTCTTAATAATATTTTGGCGATAAATTTACAAATTTTACTTATAGATACAATACGTCAATACCTATTTAAAAGATTATAAAATAAAAATATTTCGTACGATCGATGCGTCAATTAATACTTAATAATAATTATCAAACAACAGTTAATGAATGTTATGTACCTATTATTTTAAAAGAACCATTACATAAAATATAATATATAATATTATTGTTATTGTTTGAAAATTATTTATTGTATATTAATTGTTTTAATGATAAGTACTGCAGGTATCTAAACCTAATATATTTTTGTAATTGAATATTAATTATGTGATAATTATACTAATTAGCTTTTAAAAAATATTTAAATATTTGATCAATCAATTTCATATGATTACGAGTAGGGGATCATTTTTCCTAGGGTCCGTGATTTTTTTTCCGGAATTTTTCGTCAAGGGATTTTTTCCGGGGATTTTTATTCCACGATTCACTGTCTGTATATTATAGCTCAGTGCACATACTGTAAAATTATATATAATAATCTTGCTGATATACCGACATGCTATGCTTGATTGTGATGTAGTCTGTACTCTGTAGATAAAGAAAAAAAGAAATTGACTATTCTATGTTTAAGTGTATGAATTAAATACATGTTTGGCGGTGTGGGGGGGCAAAGCCCTCCACGGTAACTAAGACTTTAATATAAAGTGTACGAAAACAATTATATTTTAGCCTCGGTACTACCCTACCTATATGATATTATTTGGTTGGTTTTTGGTAAAAAAATCGTGTCTTTCTATAGTGCTTGTACGTTATGTTATGCAAATTTTCGAATAAAATAAACCGCTCTGATTTACAATTGTGCCTCTCTAATCACATTCCCGATTATTTCGGAGAAAATTTCCGCCGTTTTTAATTAAATTTTAAGTTTATAAAAATCAAATCATTGCATATAATAATATAATATCTATATAAATATTTAATTGCGTTTAGATTTTGTAATTCAATCAATTATTTTGAATATTCTAGAAAAAAAAATGAATAATATTAAACAATATAATATGTGGGATTAAATTTATAAGGAAAATATTTGTGTGATATTTTAATATTGTATAGGTACCCGCAATAGCCACACCCTTTTCACCCTAGATCCAAGATTGTATGATGATAACATGACATTATTCACATAATATTATCAGTTTATTTTACACTATATTGTATTTAATATTTATTAATATATATTAACATTATACTATCTAACATATGCATAGCCAATAGGTGTGCGAACGGGGTTGACAAGGTGTGCAGTTTTATTTTAGATTCTGAGTGGAACGATAAATGTATTGATTTTACAATGATGTGTTTTTTTTTTGTGTCTGTCATCACGGTTTGGGGCAGTAAAACTGCTTCGCTTTTCTTCAACAGACAACAGTATCTTGTTCGATGGAAAAGTGAATCTAGTTGGTGCATTCGGGAGGTCAAATTTTAAAATTCCCAATAAATTTCACCAGCGCCGGGAAAAACAACATATAAATTAAGGAAAAACGGGAATTTTTAAGCAAAATCGGTTTTCCGCAAAATTCAATTTGGTTTTTGGTTTAACTCTAAAACAAATGAACGTATATAAATTAAATTTTCAATGGTTGTTTATATTCGCATTTTCTATACACAATAACATTTTCAAAATATTATGATTTGTTTTGAACTGAATATTTTCATTTTCCATTTTTTTTTAGTTTTCTTCTAGAAATATCAATACATTTTTATTTGTTGGTTAAAAATGCTTGAAAATTTAATAGAAGGCTCCTAGTATATTGTTTCAAAGGCAGATGAAAAATATAAAAATCCTTAGTCACAGTTTTTTTTATAAGCATTTTAAGTTCAAAAATTGGCAAAATATGGAAAAATCACGAAAATTAGCAAAATATTTTGAGTTGAGAATTCGTAAAATATTTCCTTTTTAAATCTAAGGTTTTTAAATGTAATACAAGATTCCTTATAAGATTATCTACCTTCATCAAAAAAAAAAAATGTCTATAAGAAAGTCAAATTAAATTTTTATGAGCGTTTGAAATTTAAATTTTTACAACATTAAATATTCACTCGATTTATCATATAGCGATTTCCTTATTTTGTTGTAATTCAAAAACGAATGACTTTAGATACATGAAAATTTCACTGAATGTTTATATTAGCATTTCCTATACACCATACAATTTTGTAAATATTTTGACACCTTTTGAGCTGTTTACAGATATTTTCAGTTTTCAATCTTTTTAGTTTTTTTTTTAATAAAAATATCATTAAATTTTTATCTGTTGGGCCAAAAAGTGTAAAAATTTAATACATAGCATTTAGAGATCTAATTTTGACAAAATTACATAAAAAAAAACGTAGAATAACTGTTTTAGTTATTTTGTTGTGATTGTATAATATTATTCGTGGGTACTTGAAACTTCTAAAGTGCACTATTATATATCGGGGTCCGGGGAATAGTAAGTTCCTACACGAGAGTAGCAGGTAAACAATTACATATGTTAGTTCCTACACGGGCATATGTAAGTTCCTACACGGGCATATGTAAGTTCTTACAGGGTAAAAACCAGGTACCTATGTTAGTTCCTACACGGCGGAAAAAGGTACATATGTAAGTGTACCTATATGTGTATATATGTGTAAATATGTATATACGAATAAATATATGATGATTATATATTATATAATACAAATCGCATAACACATATTCACAAATAGGCATATAATAATTAGGATTATTATTGAAACTTTATACGCTGGTATAGCTATTTAATATAGGTAACTACATTCAAATATACTTATAAATAATACTTATAAATGTATATACGAAATCACTGGAAAATACGACTAGCTACAAGCTGATAATATTATCCCCTATACCGACTCGACGTAAGGAAAAAGATAAAATATCTTATTATCTATATTTTTGACATACAAAATATTTATGACTTTTCATCATCGATAAAAATGATACAGAACTTGATTTTGATTTGATAATCTTAAAATTAGTTATAAGTCTTATAACTATACACAGTAAAATGTACATCTAGTTATTTCTCTTAAAAGTTTTGTTAGTATTGTTCGAAACATCTGAGTGTCCGTACATATCCGTTTATACTAATCATATACAGTTATACAAATTCACAATGAGCGAGAATGTATCATTCATGTTGAGTGAAAAAGGCAAACAACTACTAGTTTTGAAAAATTTTAAATTTTTTAAAGTGAAAAATTAAAATGCATTATACGATTTTTATTATATTTTTTACTCATCATATTATATTTATTTGTGACGATGCGTTATGCTTTTTTTTTTTGATTTTCTACTCTTTATATTATTTTATATTTAATCGTGAAAAATTAAAATACATTATACGATTTTTATTATATTTTTTACTCATCATATTATATTTATTTGTGACGATGCGTTATGCGATTTTTTTTTTTGATTTTTTACTCTTTTTACTCTTTATGTTATTTTATATTTAATCGTGAAAAATTAAAATGCATTAGGCAATTTGTATTATATTGTATAATCATCATATATGTATTTATTCGTATATACATCGTATATACATATTTACACCTTTTTTCCACAGTGTAGGAACTAACATTCACCATATATATTATATATCTATGATAGTATCAGGGTTTGTTGTTGATGTATAACGCGTTATAAGTACCTAATGAATATTGTGATAATATGATTCATTTGGAATTTATTATAGGTACTTATTATAGGTCATTTTTTTAATACCATAGATAAGTATATAATATGTCTTATACCTAGACTGACATATCGTCTCTGCTCAGAATGGTTTTTCGTATACAATGATATTTTATTATTGAATTCAAATTTAATACTATCCAGTATACAGGTTATATATACCATTGTTTTGAATTTTCTTTTGTTTTTGACCCACAAAAGTAAGTAGAAACTAGATCCGATTTTCTACCAGAAACCTCCCTCGATGTTGATGATTGGAGCATTTTTACTATATTAGAAAAAGTATGGAGACACATACAAAAACGCATATAATTGTAAATCAATACACTCGTCGATCGCTCCGCTTAGAATCTAACATTTTAAACATACCTATTACCTAATACCTATTTTTTTCTTATAAATTTAACTAAAAAAATATTCGATAACCAATTTTGATTTTGTTTTATTCTACGTACACACTAATGTACGCAATTAACGTCTTAACGTTGTAGTTTACTTATTAAGGTTAATAATTTATACCAAGGGTGGCCAATGATAAGAGAGTAGCGAGCTGCACAATATAATGAAAAATGATATGAAGAGCAGGAACACGAATAATACCTACCGGCGAGGGAAACGCGCCAAAATGACCAATGTAAATTAAAACGCGCGCGTACGATACGTCGCGTATGATACGCGTCCATGTGAAACGGGCCTAAGGGCCAGTTGTACTATCTATGATTATGGTTAATCCACAGATAT